GAGAAGTACCAAACAATCTTTGGTTGCCACTTCTACCATGGAAGCTGAGTTTGTTTCCTGTTTTGAGGCTACTACATAGGGTATTTGGTTGAGAAGTTTCATTTATGGGCTTGGAGTTGTTGAGTCTATCTCTAGGCCAATAAGGTTGTATTGTGACAATTCAACTGCTATATTCTTTGCTAAGAATAATAAGAGTCGAAGTCGAAGTAAACACATCGACATTAAATACTTAGCAACAAAGGACCATATTAAAGCCAAAGAAGTAATCATTAAACACATACACACCAGGTAGATGATTGTTGATCCTCTAACAAAAGGCATGCCACTAAAGATGTTCAAGGATCATGTAGTTCAAATGAGATTACGTCTTGCTTTGTCACTATGAGAGGTAATACTTTCATTGGAACAAACATTTGAGGTTTGTTCATAAAGTAATATTCCACATTTAAGTGTTTATTTAGAAAGAGAAAATTACATAATAATACATGGAAGGTGATACTTGTTTAAAAGGGGCTTACTGCTATGATTTATGCAATTTTATTTTTCTAATTAAACATAAAGAATATAAAACTACTATGTTGTGGATTGTGTAATAAAAGTTTAGACTAAGTGGGAGAATGTTAGATTTTTAATTAATTAAAATTCATTGCCCTAAAATTACTATTTGGTCCTTCACTTTTATATATATTATTTTATATAAAATTTAAACTCTTGAGCAGTTTTTAGCAGTTATCCCTAGTCTTTGATGGAAAGACTTCTGCATGTTTTAAAAGGAGAACAGTTACAAGTCTCTAATACACGCAATTATTCTGATTTCTCAAAAACCATCGTTCTAAGAATTGTAGTGCATTGGAAGAGTCTGTAACCTTTGAAGAACACAACAACAACAAATTGTTATAGCTGGAGGTTAGTGATTAAATTATTTCGCTCCTGCAAATCTCCATGAATATATGAACATGTATATGAATAATGGTATAAATATATACATATTGATTTTGAGTGATTTACATTACTGGTTTTCACATTTAAAGCAAGAATCAGAGCTATTTAATGACAAATTTTTATTTATATAACAAAAAGTAAAAATTAAAAAAAGCAACCGAGTTTGATACTGTAGCTTCAAACCAATATGGTTATTTGGTTCCTTATGATCAACTTAATTTGAAAGAATTCTAATATATAGCTTAATTGTTTTCTGGTTTCTTTTCACCTGAATTTTGGTTTATATTTCAACTGATTAGATGTTCAATTAGTAACTATACATAGATAGAGGAGGTGAAACCGTGAAAGAACCCAAGTATTCACATATTTGTGAGGTTTAAGTTAAAATAAACATAAAATATGATTGGCAAAAAAAAAAGTTTAATGAAGCCGTTTAGCATTTATAAGTATGTGTATGTGAATATTTAAGAGAAATTCAATCAAGAAATAAATATGGGGTTCTCTCTTGTGAATCAGTCTTCTGCTGCTTATAAAATTTTGTTCCCTCTTTTAACATTTGTGTTGTTGATTTTACCACAGAAGCAGCTAGAAAGTTTGAATGAAACCCTGCACTTACCTTCGGAGATTCAATCCTTGATACAGGCAACAACAACAATATGGAAATAATTTTCTGACTTGATAGGCAGATTTTTTCTGACACCAAAATCAGTCAGTTATATCGATAAAAGATCAATTAAATAACTTCAAGGAGTACTTGGGAAAGCTTAAAGGGGTTGTTGGAGAAAAGAGCCCAAAAAATAATATGAAATAGCCTGTTTCTACTGTCATCAGCGAATAATGACATTGCATTCATCTACTTCACCCCCTCTTCCGAATATGATGTTTCTTCTTACACTTCTCTTGTAGTTTGAGTTAGCTGGACTTCAACTTTTTTAAAGGTAAATTTACATTGACTTGGACTTGGAGTAGGAAAGATAGCTGTTTTGGGTACATATTACCGTTAAGTTGGTTACCATCAGCAAAAAGTATCGAGAATGTGTACAGAAGGTGTTAACCAAGCAGCGCAGTTGTCCGAGATAAACACACTCAAAATCACCCTCCCCCAAGCTGAGATACTCTCTACATTGATGTCTACAAGCGTTTCCTTGATCTCATCTAGAAAAGTAGTTTAGTTACAAATTCTTTTTCTCTGCTTATCCAAGCTTAAACTAGTGTTATAACTTTTTTATTTTTGTTATTTTATAATTCCAGACTTTCATGTTCCAGATAGATAGAATTAGAGGATGTTGTTACTCGGAAACAGGGCAACTTTGTAATCCGTCTCAGTTATTCTGCCGGATTTGAAGAACAGTTTCCCCTGATTAGTTTTCACTTTCCCCACTTATTTTCTTTCTGCTTTACAATGTATTTATTCTTTCCATATCCAGATTTATCTTTACGAGATCTAGTTCTTATGTAAGAGCCACTGGTTTAAATTACAAACAGACTCCCGCTCAAGATCACCATTGATCATCATCAATCATGTATCAGTCTTCTCTGAACTTAAATTAATTTCCTTGTGCATATATTTCCGGTGAATTAACATATATAATTTGGAGCAACGGTAGTCCCCTTCTCTTGCACAAGTTAGAACTAGAAATATACATACTTGAAATGAAATCTCACACAGGCTGAAGCTTACGGGTAAATCTCTAACTTAATCTGAACGTAAAATGCATGACCTAAGGAAAAGGCGATTTATCTTTCACGTAACAAATTATTAAAAGCTTATGTTATTTCTCAAGTCTGGCTATTCGGTGTATAAAATCTTGAGGTAAGACGAAAAATGATATTCATAAACAAATCATTCTCTTCTTGTTTCAGTTGAGGCCTAACTAATTAAAAGACAATGTCTTCCATCATTTTAAAGGCGCTATATTTCTTCTCTTACTCTGCTTCAATATGTTGTCTTTTGGTCATTACCATATTTCAAGTCTATACATCTGAAGCTACAGTAAAGCTCCAGGACAATGTGACAATTTCAGCTATTTTCATGTTTGGGGATTCCATAGTTGATACAGGAAACAACAACAACAAACTGAATGCAGTTGCTAGGAGCAATTTCCCACCCTACGGAAGGGATTTCATGGGAGCAAAGCCAACAGGAAGGTTTAGCAATGGAAAGATTCCTTCCGACCTAATTGGTATCAATCAAATGTATTTCTCTTTATTATAAAAAAGCTAATTAATAGAACATGATAAAGTCTTTAAGAAGACAAATGTTGATTAATTATTAATACAAAATGACTTCCACATTAAAACTTTTCCCTTGATTAGAAGAGTTGTGAAAAGGGTGAAAATATGATATTGAACATGCACAGAAAATTTTGAACACAAGGGTTTGCTTAGAAAATCTGAAAGATATTGCTGTAGACTATAGGATCATCGTTTATGAAATTCTTTAATTAATGTCAAATACAAACGCTTTCAGTGGAAACATTGGGAATTAAAGAGGTGTTGCCAGCATATCTTGATCCAGATATACAAACTAAAGACCTCCTCACAGGAGTAAGCTTTGCTTCGGCCGGGGCAGGATATGATCCTGTGACATCTTGGCTAGTGGTACAAATAAATTTAAAATTTTTATCTGAAAACTTGTAAAATTAACTTTTAATTAATCGCAAGTAATTGACATGTTTATTTTATTTCTTATTATGTGTAATTCGATCAGGCAGCTATATCTCTAACAAAGCAATTACAACTGTTCGAAGAATGTATGGAAAGGGTGAAAGAATCTTTTGGAGAAGAAAGAGCAAGACACATTACAGCCAATAGTGTAAGTATAGTATCAGCAGGCAGTAATGACATTGCCAACACATATTTTCTCCTTCTTTTCCGAATATTAGAGTTCAATATTTCTTCTTATGCTGATCTTTTGGCTACCTCAGCTTCACTCTTTCTTGAGGTAAGCTAAATTCTAATAGACACTACAGTACTCTCTACCATGCCATGAACAGTACTCAAATATCAACAAACTAATTAAACCCATTTTACTTTGGCATATAATCAATTGGAAGGGACTATACAAACAGGGAGCTCGAAAGATCGGCGTCTTGGGGTCACCACCCTTAGGATGTATGCCATCTTCAAGAACTGTTAGAGGAGGACATGACAGAAATTGTGTAACATACTACAATGAAGCAGCACAATTGTTTAACTCTAAGATGAAAGTAGTGCTGGATAACCTTAACAAAAAATATCCCCAATCCAGGATGGTCTTCATTGATGGCTACACCATAATGAATGATATCATCCAAAATCCAAAGAAATATGGTAATCCATTATTTGAACAGGAGTATTTGGTTTAAACAAGACTGAGTTCACTTAACAAATTATTTAATTGTTTATGTCAGGATTTGAAGTTGCTGATAGAGGATGTTGTGGTACGGGTACATTTGAAGTAGCAGCTACCTGTAATAAATGGAGTTTGTTTACATGTACTAATGCCTCCAAGTATGTTTTCTGGGACAGTTACCACCCAACGGAAGAAGCCTACAGAATCCTCATGGATTACCTCTTCCCAGATATGCTAAACCAGTTGTTTTCCTAATTTTGTAATAACATTATGTTGTATCACTTCCGTCTGATCCTCTCTAGACTTGGATCAGGATGAAAGCTTTGAAATTCTACTCATGTCTATCAGATTTCCTCAAGTGCTTGTGAAAAATATGTAGCTTTCACTGCTTTTACTTCTTCCTGCAATTAACAAGGGAACCTGCATATAAAATATAAAATTTTGACAATGACACCAGTAAAACCATTGAAATTCTGATTTCCATTGAGCCTCAACAATAGTTGAAGGGCTTGATGATTTTTAATAAAGTTGCTTTATATTCCTTTTGGCCCAAAAAGCTGTTAGCAATTATAAGCCCATCAAAAAGGGCAAAATAGTATTTCCATCCAAGAATACATACGTGGCAAAATCAACCCCGTTGATTAAATCATCCATTGATTATCACTTTGTTCTTGTCCAACCCGGAGACAGACACCTTGATTACTCTCTCTTATCTTTATCTATATATACACTATTTATTTTATTTTAAAGATTACTATTTCAGTTTGAAATCGTGGGGGAGATATCTATTTAGGGTTTCTGATATATTGGATCCATCGGTTGATTGATCAATACGAAAGAATGTCAACGAGCAAGAAAATTACTCTGAAAAGCTCCGATGGTGAGGCGTTCGAGGTAGATGAAGTGGTGGCTTTGGAATCGCAGACGATAAAGCATATGATAGAGGACGATTGCGCCGACAACGGAATTCCTCTTCCTAATGTAACCAGCAAGATCCTCTCCAAGGTCATCGAGTACTGCAAGAAGCACGTTGAGGCTACCAAGGCCGACGATCGTGCAGCCGGCGTCGACGAAGAACTCAAGGCCTGGGATGCCGAGTTCGTCAAAGTCGATCAGGCTACCCTTTTCGATCTCATCCTCGTTAGACTTCTTTCTCCCTTCCTTTTTATTTAATTGATTCTTTGTAATTGATTATTCGGGTTTGTCGATTGCTTCGACTTTTAATCAAAATCGATTGGATTTAACCTAAATATAAATTCCTCTAATTGTTAAATCAGAACGAAGATTTGCTTGGGAAAGATTTTTAATTAGGTATTTCTGGTGCTTGGGGAACATTTTAATTAGGTATTCCTTTGAGTGGGAAATTATTTAATTAGGTATTCCTGTTGTTGGGAAAGTTTTTAATTAGGTATTCTTCTGGTTGGGAAAGATTTTAATTGGTATTCCTCCTTGGTCAATGGTTTCAAAAGAGGATAAGCTATTGGTTGGAACGTCTATCTCTATGCATTTGTTGTTTAAAAGTTGTGTATTTTTCATGTCCTTGTAATGATATGTGTATGTTTCTCCTTGTCATGATATTAGAATTTGAATTGATGAATTCATGCAAAGTTTGCAAATCCGCTGATTCTTGCTGTGTATATACCATATTAACTTTCTCCGTTGAAGAAGTGTATAAACTTCTTGCACTGTGTTATAAAGAAGTTGTTTTCTTCTCATGTTAATTATTGCGTAACTTCTGCTGCATTTTTTTTTTTTTAACCTAGTCTTTTGTATTCCATTGTAATGACCATATTGACTCTGTGTTGGAGATTCATGTATCATATTTTCAGTTGTTCCTACTTCAACGATAGCGCTTTAACGTTGTTTTGATCTTGAATCTCAACATATAAGGATATAAGGTGCTGCATCTTGAATTGTTTTTATCTATTCCCTATACCATTTTAATGTGCATACTTGTTTGTATTTGTGTTTTGCTTTTTAGGCTGCAAACTATCTCAACATCAAGAGCTTGCTGGACCTGACTTGCCAGACAGTTGCAGACATGATTAAGGGAAAAACTCCAGAGGAGATTCGCAAAACATTCAACATTAAGAATGACTTTACTCCAGAAGAGGAGGAGGAGGTTCGCCGGGAGAATCAGTGGGCTTTTGAGTGAAAATTCTGAAGTGAACAATATGTAATTCTGTCTTTTGTTTTTTTTCTTTGGACATGTGTTTCCTGGAACTTCCTTAGTAAAGTGTTAAACGATTGTTATTTGGCTTCCGTATTGTTCAAACCCCCGTTCTGTTTCCCTATTGTGGTGTCCTTTTGAATCTTGTTATTTATGTTAATATAGTATATATATTCCACCAACCTTTTTTCTTTCCCTCTCTTTTACCCGTTCAAGGTTATGTTTAGCTATTACTTTTACATAAATGACGTGTATGTAGCATTTCTTTTGCCCTCTGTATTAGAGGCTGATGATTATGACGCTAGGTGTGCAGACATTGTTAATGTGGTATGTATCGACAGGTACAATTGGAATATTAGGTTTCTGGAATTATATTGAAGATTTATTCACAACTTATATTTGCTTTTAAATCTTCCCTTGAAACTTATGAGATACATTGTTTTTTTTTAATGAGTGACAACGGTCCTGCTGTTCTCACTGCTAACTGCAAATGGGCTCCGAACTTTGTATTTTCCATTAGACCATGTGATTGATCCAAATAAATCTTCCTTCAGCGATGATAGGATAGAAGAGAAAGTCACTTGGTAACTCAACTGTTGTCCACTCTTCGTAAATTGCAGTTTGTCTGGGATCACCTTCACATTTAGTCCTTGAGGTGCATCAACAGTTACAGCATAGATTTTTTCATTAGCTCCTGCAACGTTTGTGAGAGTCCTACTTACAGTTCTTCCCTCTTTCCCTTTGAAACTTGAGATTGCTATTGATGGATGGTTGATAGTTGATATAAGATCCATACTTGACTCCTTGGGACAGGTGAAATCTTCTGGAACAGATTTTGCGATGCTTTTGATTTTTGATACATTATAACCGTAGTAACACAGAAAATTCAAGTAGTCAACCTCAGTGGTCTCGTAAATCAGCCCTGGTTGTAGTGGTGCGGTTGTACCGATTTCTCCTGCACCAATATCATAAGGTGTTGCTATTGATCCTGAATCTGTAGTTATTGGGGCCTTCAAATTGTTTAGTTGAATTGCTGCAAAAACCAACAGAATGTTACAGATGAGTCGAAATTCAAGCTTCATTATATGCATGTGGTTGTTAGACTTAGATCTCTTCACCCGTAGTCATGATAGCTGATTTGATTGCAGAGGGGCTCCATGTCGGATTCTGAGATTTAACGGTTGCAGCAATTCCAGATACGTGCGGGCATGACATTGAAGTTCCTGAGATCATATTGAATTCAGGGGGTTCTTTACCTTTTGGAGCGGCGGTTGTATCATTCCCCATCCAAGCTGCAAGTATGTTAACTCCTGGTGCTGCAATATCAGGCTGCATGAAATGACGATAGCTGGTTAATAAATCTGTGTGGAAGGATTATTCAGTTCCATATAGTAATCCAGACAGAATGAAGCTTTACCTTGATAATGTTCCTGGTCATGAATGAAGGACCTCTAGCTGAGAAGTATGCTATGACAGGCGCCGGCTTATATTCTGTCACTGATACAGTGGGTAAAATTGTTGCCACTGGATCTCTGCAGAAAGTTCAAAATTCACCACAGATAAGCATCTTCGAAGATTAAAAGATCTAGCAACTGATACAAACTAATCGACAATTTATCACCTGGTTGAGTTGATATAGGAAATGATCTGTTCCTTGTCCTTCGAACTGATCACAGTAACGGGCGATACTCCAAAAGTGGTCACCACTACACTTGATTCGTCATCAACCACAATTGCACCAACACCTCCAAGAGTCTGCACCTGGTCCATTTTACCTTCTATAGAATTCATCCCATTATCATTGTCACAAAGAACAATCTTCCCTTTTACCAGAGTTTCATTCAATGTTGTTGCACCACAATTTCTGAATTGCACAAGTTTTATAAGCATGAAAATGTGATATGCTTACAATAGAAATAAATTAAATGTTTCTAAATCCATTCATATACCTAGCTTCAGTTTCGTCTGCGTCCATTTTCTTGGCTGACTTAGCATAAATCAGTGGGTATACAGGAGACTTTTTGAGATCAGAAAAATTTATGCCTCCACCCTGTAAGTAAAATCAAGAAGTTATTATTTTATGATTAAAAAAAATTAACCTCAAATTTTAATTGAACATCAATACCTTAATAACTTTGTTTCCACCCAACACAATATCAGACTCAAAAACTCTGTCAATTGTTGAAGCAGCAACAGTCAAAATCCAGGGTGCAACGTTGACAACTGATGCACTAGTAGGCCCATCATTCCCTGCGGAGCAGACCACGGTGATCCCATGCTGCACCGCATGGAATGCTCCTAATGCGATCGGATCATTGGTAAAATCAAGATAAACTCCTGCCCGGGCACCAATTGATAAGGAAAGAACATCCACACCGTCCGCAATTGCATCATCAAATGCTGCTAGTATATTAGATCCAGTGCATCCATAATCAGGAGAACATACCCTATATACAGCAATCCTTGAGGCAGGTGAGCCACCTTTGGCGGAACCTGCAGCAAGGCCATAGTAAGAAGCATTTACAACTCGTCCAGCTGCAGTTGAAGCCACATGGGTGCCGTGGCCATAAGTGTCTCTTGGTGCTTTTGTGTGGAACGCCGCCCCTGGATCGTCTTCTATTTCGTAAGCTCTTGCTCCAATTATCTTTCTGTTACAAGCCAAATATTGGTGAGTAAAATAAGTCCATAAATGATGATACTGTAACGACATCATATGTAAAGCTAATATTTTGTGTTTTACTTATTGCACTTGAAGGATTTGTCATCGTCTCCGACCGCACAGGTTCCATTCCAACGTGTTGGAATTGGACCCATATCTTTGTCATTGAAACTCTCTGACTCCGGCCAGATTCCTATCGTTCCATGTATAATATTAAATTTGAATCAAGCTTTTTTGGAAAAAAACAATAATAATAATAATAAAGGTAATTAATACTGCAATGTAATTCTTGTATGTAGGTTTACTCACCTGTATCTAGAATGCCAATAACAGTATCTGATCCCTGAGACGGGGACTCGGAGTCAGTTGGGTTGAAGTCGATCAAGAGATCATCTTGGTACTTCAAGAAGTCCCATGAACGAGTTGTGTGGAGTTGTAATACGGGATCGGGAAACACAGACACAACTCCTGCTTTTTTAGAAAGTGCATGGGCCTCTTCTGATGACAAACGAGCTGCGAACCCAGAGAAGCCATGTCCATAACTGTATAGCAGAGCGTTTTGTTTCCTGTAACAAATAAAGTTTCAACTTAATATCAACCCATAATTGACCCAATCTTCATTTAGAGTTGTATTAATAGTAGCCAGTAGGCTCAACTATATTAACAGGGAAGCACAGATACATACAGGCGACAACAGAAGCTACAAAATTCTGAGGCATATGCATGCATTCTTAGGAGACAAGAAACTAATTAATAAGAAGCAAAGTCTATCTTCGTTTGATTTCAACTTATTTGGAAATTTTTCTGATACATAAAAGGAGCAGTTTCATAAATGTTTCTTGAATCATGCAGAGGTGGGGTCCCAGGGGAGTTGAAGAAATTAAAGGTGTGATCTCATTAAGATAGGATTCTTCGTTATACATAATCATTGCATGCTAATGTGATTGACTACCAAAGCAGCTAAGTAGTTCCTTAATTAGTGCACATGGCATGGCATTAGTTGTCTCTACAGGAAAACTACTTATTAACGTTATGAATTGACAATTAATAAGAAACAAACAGTGAAAATTTCAAAGAGTAGACTCACCGTTTTGACACAGAGGCCAGTAGCTGAGCATGCTCGTGCCTTAACGAACCACTTGGCGAAGCCACTGCTCCCATATACACGATATAAACCCCATTATTCTTGGTTTGATCTGCTCTCGTAACAACAAAGAACGAGAAAAGCAAGACACAGAATACTGAAAAAAAAACAATAGTGAGGCCTTTCATGGCTTGAGTTTGCTAACTCTCTAATTCTGCAATGGCTCTAATGAAGAAAAACTTCCAGCAAAGCTAGTGGTATAAATAGCGATATGATGGTAAGTTGTGTGTAAACTGTTCACAGCTCTAAATCCGATAAGATTCACCTAAAGTGCGATGCTGCTTATCTAATGCGCCCATTTACAGGTGGGTAAGGTCAATGGTGGTGGTGGAGCGTGAAAGAAAGTGGAGGGTGGAGTTATCTCAATATATAATCATGCAACCACTACGAGAACTCTTATCAAAATCTCTGAGTTTAGTTAAAAATTTCGTAATTGAACTACCCATGCCATTTTGGTGGAAACCTTGCTCCAATCTCTACCTAGCTAGGAGGAATATTAGATTATCACTGTAAGCTTTTCTTACAGATATAAAGTGAAAGTATGCAACACTGATCATGTCCATTTGATTACTTTATTAAATATAAATTTCAACTTTCAGGTGTTGAAGTCTACAGTCTATGCCTGTTGTTGGGTTGGTGGTACTAATGAGAATGAGTGTTTTCAATTTAATAAATTGAGCAAATAATTAGACCCCACAAGATTGCCGATCTGCTTTTGATTTTTGATACATTATAACCGTAGTAACACAGAAAAATCAAGTAGTCAACCTCAGTGGTCTCGTAAATCAGCCCTGGTTGTAGTGGTGCGGTTGTACCGATTTCTCCTGCACCAATATCATAAGGTGTTGCTATGATCCTGAATCTGTAGTATTGGGGCCTTCAAATTGTTATTTGAATTGCTGCAAAAAACCAACAGAATGTGACAGAGAGTCGAATTCAAGCTTCATTATATGCATGTGGTTGTTAGACTTAGATCTCTTCACCGTAGTCATGATAGCTGATTTGATTGCAGAGGGGCTCATGTCGGATTCTGAGATTTAAGGTTGCAGCAATTCCAGATACGTGCGGGCATGACATTGAAGTTCCTGGATCATATTGAATTCGGGGGTTCTTTACCTTTGGAGCGGGCGGTTGTTCATTCCCATCCAAGCTGCAAGTATGTTAACTCCTGGTGCTGCAATATCAGGCTGCATGAAATGACGATAGCTGTAATAAATCTGTGTGGAAGGATTATTCAGTCCATATAGTAATCCAGACAGAAGAAGCTTTACCTTGATAAGTTCTGGTCATGAATGAGGACCTCTAGCTGAGAAGTATGCTATGACAGGCGCCGGCTTATATTCTGTCACTGATACAGTGGGTAAAATTGTTGCTACTGGACTCTGCAGAAAGTTCAAAATTCACCACAGATAAGCATCTTAAGATTAAAGATCTAGCAATGATACAAACTAATCGAATATTATCACCTGGTTGAGTTGTATAGGAAATGATCTGTTCCTTGTCCTTCGAACTGATCACAGTAACGGGCGATACCAAAAGTGGTAACCACTACATTGATTCGTCATCAACCACAATTGCACCAACACCTCAAGAGTCTGCACTGGTCCATTTTACCTTCTATTGAATTCATCCATTATCATGTCACAAAGAACACTTCCCTTTTACCAGAGTTTCATTCAATGTTGTTGCACCACAATTTTGAATTGCACAAGTTTTATAAGCATGAAAATGTGATATGCTTAATAGAAATAAATTAAATGTTCTAAATCCATTCATTACCCAGTTCAGTTTCGTCTGCGTCCATTTCTTGGCTGACTTAGCATAAATCAGTGTTTTTAATAAAGTTGCTTTATATTCCTTTTGGCCCAAAAAGCTGTTAGCAATTATAAGCCCATCAAAAAGGGCAAAATAGTATTTCCATCCAAGAATACATACGTGGCAAAATCAACCCCGTTGATTAAATCATCCATTGATTATCACTTTGTTCTTGTCCAACCCGGAGACAGACACCTTGATTACTCTCTCTTATCTTTATCTATATATACACTATTTATTTTATTTTAAAGATTACTATTTCAGTTTGAAATCGTGGGGGAGATAACTATTTAGGGTTTCTGATATATTGGATCCATCGGTTGATTGATCAATACGAAAGAATGTCAACGAGCAAGAAAATTACTCTGAAAAGCTCCGATGGTGAGGCGTTCGAGGTAGATGAAGTGGTGGCTTTGGAATCGCAGACGATAAAGCATATGATAGAGGACGATTGCGCCGACAACGGAATTCCTCTTCCTAATGTAACCAGCAAGATCCTCTCCAAGGTCATCGAGTACTGCAAGAAGCACGTTGAGGCTACCAAGGCCGACGATCGTGCAGCCGGCGTCGACGAAGAACTCAAGGCCTGGGATGCCGAGTTCGTCAAAGTCGATCAGGCTACCCTTTTCGATCTCATCCTCGTTAGACTTCTTTCTCCCTTCCTTTTTATTTAATTGATTCTTTGTAATTGATTATTCGGGTTTGTCGATTGCTTCGACTTTTAATCAAAATCGATTGGATTTAACCTAAATATAAATTCCTCTAATTGTTAAATCAGAACGAAGATTTGCTTGGGAAAGATTTTTAATTAGGTATTTCTGGTGCTTGGGGAACATTTTAATTAGGTATTCCTTTGATTGGGAAATTATTTAATTAGGTATTCCTGTTGTTGGGAAAGTTTTTAATTAGGTATTCTTCTGGTTGGGAAAGATTTTAATTGGTATTCCTCCTTGGTCAATGGTTTCAAAAGAGGATAAGCTATTGGTTGTAATGTCTATCTCTATGCATTTGTTGTTTAAAAGTTGTGTATTTTTCATGTCCTTGTAATGATATGTGTATGTTTCTCCTTGTCATGATATTAAAATTTGAATTGATGAATTCATGCAAAGTTTGCAAATCCGCTGATTCTTGCTGTGTATATACCATATTAACTTTCTCCGTTGAAGAAGTGTATAAACTTCTTGCACTGTGTTATAAAGAAGTTGTTTTCTTCTCATGTTAATTATTGCGTAACTTCTGCTGCATTTTTTTTTTTTTAACCTAGTCTTTTGTATTCCATTGTAATGACCATATTGACTCTGTGTTGGAGATTCATGTATCATATTTTCAGTTGTTCCTACTTCAACGATAGCGCTTTAACGTTGTTTTGATCTTGAATCTCAACATATAAGGATATAAGGTGCTGCATCTTGAATTGTTTTTATCTATTCCCTATACCATTTTAATGTGCACACTTGTTTGTATTTGTGTTTTGCTTTTTAGGCTGCAAACTATCTCAACATCAAGAGCTTGCTGGACCTGACTTGCCAGACAGTTGCAGACATGATTAAGGGAAAAACTCCAGAGGAGATTCGCAAAACATTCAACATTAAGAATGACTTTACTCCAGAAGAGGAGGAGGAGGTTCGCCGGGAGAATCAGTGGGCTTTTGAGTGAAAATTCTGAAGTGAACAATATGTAATTCTGTCTTTTGTTTTTTTTTTTTTCTTTGGACATGTGTTTACTGGAACTTCCTTAGTAAAGTGTTAAACGATTGTTATTTGGCTTCCGTATTGTTCCAACCCCCATTCTGTTTTCCTATTGTGGTGTCCTTTTGAATCCTGTTATTTATGTTAATATAGTATATATATTCCACCAACCTTTTTTCTTTCCCTCTCTTTTACCCGTTCAAGGTTATGTTTAGCTATTACTTTTACATAAATGACGTGTATGTAGCATTTCTTTTGCCCTCTGTATTAGAGGCTGATGATTATGACGCTAGGTGTGCAGACATTGTTAATGTGGTATGTATCGACAGGTACAATTGGAATATTGGGTTTCTGGAATTATATTGAAGATTTATTCACAACTTATATTTGCTTTTAAATCTTCCCTTGAAACTTATGAGATACATTGTTTTTTTTTAATGAGTGACAACGGTCCTGCTGTTCTCACTGCTAACTGCAAATGGGCTCCGAACTTTGTATTTTCCATTAGACCATGTGATTGATCCAAATAAATCTTCCTTCAGCGATGATAGGGTAGAAGAGAAAGTCACTTGGTAACTCAACTGTTGTCCGCTCTTCGTAAATGGCAGTTTGTCTGGGATCACCTTCACATTTAGTCCTTGAGGTGCATCAACAGTTACAGCATAGATTTTTTCATTAGCTCCTGCAACGTTTGTGAGAGTCCTACTTACAGTTCTTCCCTCTTTCCCTTTGAAACTTGAGATTGCTATTGATGGATGGTTGATAGTTGATATAAGATCAATACTTGACTCTTTGGGACAGGTGAAATCTTCTGGAACAGATTTTGCGATGCTTTTGATTTTTGATACATTATAACCGTAGTAACACAGAAAATTCAAGTAGTCAACCTCAGTGGTCTCGTAAATCAGCCCTGGTTGTAGTGGTGCGGTTGTACCGATTTCTCCTGCACCAATATCATAAGGTGTTGCTATTGATCCTGAATCTGTAGTTATTGGGGCCTTCAAATTGTTTAGTTGAATTGCTGCAAAAACCAACAGAATGTTACAGATGAGTCGAAATTCAAGCTTCATTATATGCATGTGGTTGTTAGACTTAGATCTCTTCACCTGTAGTCATGATAGCTGATTTGATTGCAGAGGGGCTCCATGTCGGATTCTGAGATTTAACGGTTGCAGCAATTCCAGATACGTGCGGGCATGACATTGAAGTTCCTGAGATCATATTGAATTCAGGGGGTTCTTTACCTTTTGGAGCGGCGGTTGTATCATTCCCCATCCAAGCTGCAAGTATGTTAACTCCTGGTGCTGCAATATCAGGCTGCATGAAATGACGATAGCTGGTTAATAAATCTGTGTGGAAGGATTATTCAGTTCCATATAGTAATCCAGACAGAATGAAGCTTTACCTTGATAATGTTCCTGGTCATGAATGAAGGACCTCTAGCTGAGAAGTATGCTATGACAGGCGCCGGCTTATATTCTGTCACTGATACAGTGGGTAAAATTGTTGCCACTGGATCTCTGCAGAAAGTTCAAAATTCACCACAGATAAGCATCTTCGAAGATTAAAAGATCTAGCAACTGATACAAACTAATCGACAATTTATCACCTGGTTGAGTTGATATAGGAAATGATCTGTTCCTTGTCCTTCGAACTGATCACAGTAACGGGCGATACT